TGATTTTATATATAGAATAGAAAATAAAATAAAAAGCGAAAATTTTTCTATTTACACACACTGTCTGTGTGCGTTTTTTTTTTTCTTTTTTTTTTTTTTTTTTTTGAACCAGAAAACAAGCAATCATCCTATCCTATTTCTTATTTCTTTGATTTGATTGACGATTTTCGATTTCTTTTTTTTCGTGTATGTGTGTGTCCATGTGTGTGTGTGTGTGTGTGTGCGTGGCTAGCAAAGTTAATTTAATTTCGATGTGTACTGTCCAATGAAAATAAAAAATGATGATGATGATGATGATCATAACGATAATGATAACGAGTCGATGATCATGATCATGATCATCATGATGATGATGATCATCATCATCAAATAAATGATTGCAATATTGGTAAAAAAAAATAAATAAACTTTTAAGATTAGATAATAAATCATCATGTATGTATCATATATACGTACATGTGTATATTTCAAATGAGTAAATGAAACAAAAAAAAAAATTCAGTGGCCAACCAAATAACATGATGTTGATGATGAGTCATTCATAAAAATAATGATTCAACAATATAAATCGATAGTATATATCGATATCAATATTTAATAATTATATTATTATGGCAAAAATTATTAATTAATCAGAATAATGATAAACAAAACAAAACAAAACAAAATGAATGGCAACCAACTCGATATGAATTTTTTTTTTTTTTTTGCTTTAAAACGACAAAGAAAGGACAAGGGACAAGAGTTATTTTTTTTCATATTCACATCATTATCATCATCATATGTTGTTGTTGTTGTTATTTTTACTACTACTAGTCTATCATTGTTAAAACACACACACACACAAACTTGCAATCATGCTGTTTTTGTTTTTGTTTTTGGACATGTGAAATTTTTTTTTTTTTTTTTTATCCATTATATTCACATTATCATCATCAATTGATGAATTTTGGAATTTTTTTTCATCATCATGATCATTTCTTTTGTTGAATGGTAAAGAAACAAATTTTACGATCTGTCCTTTTGTTTTGGAATGAAATTTTTTCAATTGTTTTGATGCACGTTTTTCATTGCCATTTTAGTTGACAAAATTTTTTAAATATTTCTATTTTCACCCACATAATGTGGTCACAAAAATCAAAATAGTGCAAATATACAAGTGTGTGTGTGTGTGTTATACTGTGCTTATCTTGCACCGGGAGAAAAATTTTACAGTGAAAATAAAAATCATCATTATTCAAATGAATAAATTATATGAAAATAAATTGTTAAATTAACCCTCCTCTTCATATTTGAAATCATCATCATCATCATCATCGTCGTTGTATTTTAAATGGTAATTACCATTTAAAACGATTCATATGTAAATTGATTGGCCAAAAAATCATGACGTGATGACCAATTAAAATGAATAAAATTATTATAAATAAATGGCCATTAGCTATTGCTAATTTTCTGCTGTTGTTATTGCGTTTAAAAGAAAATTATTAAATTATTCAATTATTTCGGCAATGCGATAACAAACAGAAAACTGTCATAATTACATGGATACAATATATACAAATGTTTAAAGCTATAAAGTGATATATATCGATCGATAATCGATTCTATTGATACATTCTGATTGATGATAGCCGTCGTGAATCGAGATCATTTCCTTATTTTTGCAGATGAAAATTGTTCGATCGAATTTATATATATATATATTCTTTGTTACAGACAGACAGACAAAATCAAAATGTGAATAGCCAGCAAAAAAAAAGTGGAGAAAAAAAACGACAATTGACAAGAATTGTAAAAATGTAATGCTTAAAATGGTGATGATCATCATCATTGTAGCAATGATCATGATCATGATCATCATTTTGAAAGTTTTTTTCTTCTTCTCATTCCACAGACAAACAAACAATCAGTTACTTAAATGGAAAGAAAGAAAATCCAAAATTTTCAATACAACAACCAAAATCGAAACTAATAAAACGATATGAAGTGAGAATGTGACTTTTAAGACGAATCGACAATGATCAAGTGAAAAAGTGAAAGAGAAAAATTATCGAGAAATCGATCGATCTCGCTTTTCTTCTCTTTGTTGTTGTTGTTGTTGTTGTCGATGCCAAAAATTTGAATTGAAAATTGGTTTTGTTGTCGTTGTTGTTGTTGTTGTTGTCGTCTGGTTTTGTCAATATCATAGATGTTATTTCGGGTGTACGGCCTTGTTTATTGTCATTGATAATGTTGTTGTTGCTCAATTTGGATTGAAACAAACAAACGAAAAAAACAAAAAACAAATAAACACAACGAAAACGAGATTTGAAAATGATTCTTAATCAACGAAAATTTCTCTCTCTCTCTCTCTCTTTCCCTTTCTTTTTTTTAAACCAAACATTAAGGGTTTCAATTCGATTCGATTCGATTCGATTTCGATTCGATTTTTTTTTTTGGCTTCCAGAAATGATTCCAAAAGCAACAAGAAAAATGAGAGAGAGAGAAAAAAAAGCTTTTTAGTTAATTAAAGTTTGCCAAATGAAGAAAAATTGACGAAATGAAACAAAAAAAAAAAAAATCTTTACGATGTTTATGGTTGAAACCAGAAAGACAAGGAGAATTCTTATCGATTCGTTCATTTTCCATCAGTGTGCGTGTGTGTGTGTGAGAGAGAGAGAGAGCAAGACAATCATTGAATGCGATGAATGAAAAAATCTTCAACCATGATCGGCATCAAGTTTTTTGTTCATAATGAATTTTTAATTTTCATAAAATCAATTTTGATTTCAAACATTTGAAATTTTTTTTCTCCTTTTTGCCACTAGTTTTTTCCAAGTTCCAATGCCTCTTCAAATGGAACTTTTTTTCTCTCTCTCATTTATTTTTGCTTTACCTATATCTGGTTACCAGACTAAGGGAGGACACGTCTTTACTTTTTTACCCAGGAACATCATCACCTAACAAATGAAAAAAATTTGTCCTCCTCATCCTATTGGGCCCAACTAGCTCATTATCAATTGTGAATTGGATCGATTAAAATCAATGCACACAGATGTATCAGTCGAGAATTCAATTTACACATTTTTTTGTACGAGGAAAAAGTGTCGGAAAAAACAGATAACAGAGAATAAATTTGACCATTAACAAAAAAAAATTCATACCATTAGATGGTAAGTGGTAATCAATTGGAAATCAAGAATTTTTTATTTTATTTTTGGAACATTCCAAAAATAGAATGAATCACACACACACACACACACACACACTGAGAATCGATTGCATCAAAATGATCTCGATGCAATTTACACAAACAGCATCGAGTAAAAAAAAATTCTAGTTCCGGTTACTGAGTTGATTTTGAATATAAAATGAAAAAAAAATTTTTCTTCTACATTTTCATTCATTTCAACTTCATAAATGGTAATGCATTTTTTCCAATCAGTTTAACACACACACACACACACAGAGAGACCCAATACATGTGCATGGAACCATGTTCCATTATCATCAATTTATCCATTGGGCAAAAACGAAAAAAAAAAAAAATAAATGAAAAAGAACGAACGGCTTTTGCTTGAAGGATTTATTCACCATTGATGATGATAATGATGATGATGATGATGATGTTGATGGAGATGAACAAAATTCAAACGATTCCCAAAATCATCATCATCATCATCATTGAAACGATAATAATAAGCCTTGGGCTTTTTAGTTCTAGAATTTTTATTTTTCATTTTATTTTTTTTCCAGTTCATTCATTCATTCATTCATTTTTTCGTGTAGAGACAAAAAAAAATTTTGCTAAAGAAGCAAGCCAAGCAAGCGAAACAGACAACAGAGAGAGAGAGAGAGAGAAAAAATTTTTTTATTTAAATCATACAAAGAGCATTATCATTTTTATCCCCAATACACACGTGTCCAAATATGGAGAAATATGCATATAGAGATGACACATGACACGACCATTGTATAATAACCATACCATAGCAAAGACATACATATACTGTATTTATTCTTATTCGACATTCAATGAATGAATGAATGAATGATAATGGTGGTGAAAAAAAAAAAAATTCTTTTATGTGATTCTATAGAATTCAGACCAGAAAGAAGAAGAAAAAAAAACGCCAAAGACCCCACAGGGATTCTCAAGGGAAATTTATCTATCCAAGTTCTTTGTTGTTGTTGTCATCGTTTCGCCTAAAAAAAATCAATGATAGACTGTGAACAACAACAACAACAACAATACTGGCTGGTTGGTCGGTGTGTTTGGAACATTGTTCCAAGTCTTCTAGAGAAAAAAAACTTGACAATCTCTAAAGCAAAAAAAAAAAAAAATTTTATCCTATCCCATATATAACAATATTATTCTCTTGTTGATCTAATAACAACGATTGAATCACGTGAGTGATTGTGAAATCGTGAATAAAAAAAAAGTTTCGATTTGATTCAAATTCAATTTCGATATTTCGTTCGGCACATGTTTATAAAGAATGTATAAATGTGAAAGCCTTGAAAATAATAATTCCAGGAACGATCGATGATCCATCTTATGATGAATGTGATGATGATCCATCCATCCATCTATTCATTCATTCATATAGCGATGACAAATGAGTATTTTTGGATAAAGAATCCCTGTCGAGATGATGATGATGATGATGATCATCATCATCATATCATATTACAAAAAATTCAAAATGAATGGATTTTCAATTTTTTTCTCTCTCTCACATGGAAAATCCGCTACACACGTCCATTTTTGAATTGATTTGAATATATATATATAAATAAAGTAAATATTTCAAAATCAGAAATTTTTTTTTTTTTTTTTGATTGATGAAAATGTTTGTTCCTATTCACTCATTTGATGTTGTGTTTTTTTTCGATTTTTAGGATTATGTTTGTGTTTCTGTTTCTGTTTGTTTGTTTGTTTGCGAAAAAAAAACCGAATGAATTCTTTGCATACAATCTGATGATTGGTTAATTTTTTTCCTCTTTGCTTGACTTACATTCACTGTGATGGATCCATGAAATTTAGGTTTTTTCCTCGATTCTGGAATCTGGTTATATGTGCAAAAAACAACAAGGCAATCTGTATGGATGAAAAAGAGAAAAAAATTCTTGAGTGAGTAAAAAATTCATTTCATTTTAAAATGGATTCAAATTTATGTATGTGAAATCAATTGGATTTTTTTTTTTTGTTCTTCATCACCATTTTCATTCAATTTTCAATTGTTTATTTGTGTATTTAAGCGCTGTGCAATTTAAAACTAAAAAAAAAATTAGATGCAATTGGATTGAATTATATGAGTTTAAGTTGCAGCAATCATCATTGCTGTTTTTGTTTTCTTTTTGGGCCAAATTCCATATATTTTTTTTCCTCTTCGTTTCTGTTTAAAACGAGGAAATATTGTCCAGAATAATAAACACACACCATTGATAATAATGATGATGATGATCATCATCATCATCATTTGTTACAAAATTGCCATCGTTCAATCACCATCATCATATAAAACAGCAAATAGTTTTTTTTTTTTTTTTTGGTGAAAAGGATTTTCTTTTCTTCAACAACATTAAAATGAAAAATAAGAACAGAAAGAGCGAATGAAAAAAAAAGAAAAATGATACAAATCACACACGACCAAAAATGATAAAGAGAGAATAATAAAAAAAAGCAAATTGTAAAATTGAAATAAAAAAAAACAGTTGAAAATCAAATCGAATCAAAACGAAAAAATCACAAATTCGATGAACACAAATAACCAGAAAAAATAAAAATAAGTGAAAAGTAGACGAAAAAAAACAGAACAGAACAGAAAAAGTAAAAAAAAAAAATTAGATTTAATTTAACACACAAAAAAAATGCCAGTAAAAATAAAATGAAACGAAACGAAACGAAAATTGTTTCTTTCACACACACACACACACACATTCGGGCATTATTTGGAACAAAATTGGAAGAAAAAATCTTTTTTGCTTCACTTTTTTTTACGATTCTAGTCTTTTGATATTTTTTTTCATGTTTTGTTTTGTAGAAGAAAAAAAAATTCCGTGTAAAATGGTATATTTTTTTTCACAGAGAGTCAATATTTTTCGATTCTTTTCTTTTTCTTGCTTTTTTGTTTTGTTTTGTCCCCATTGTTCCAATCGAAACAATCGACGAACATACACACACACACACACACAGACCAAATGACATCAATTTAAATTGTTTTTCATTTTTTTCTATGGTTCAATATTTGCGTCTATATATTGCTACACACACACACACACAGCAATAAGAAAATGATCATTGTCGAAATAGAAACAGTTGAATTGTAATAATTTGTATGATGATGATTTTTGTCTTCTTTGAAACTTTTTTTTTATCGTTGTTGGAAAACATTTTACTTATTGTTACATAATCGAATGATTTTCTTTTCTTTTTTTTTTTTGGTTGGATATAGCCGGCATTAACACGTACACGAGAAATAAATAAATAAATAAAAAAAAGAATCTAAACATTACAATTCCATTTTGAATTACACATCATACATTTGATCCGATTGTATTCCATCATTCATTCAATGAATTGTCATCATTATGTTCGAATACAGAATTTTACATAGTGAAAAAAACCCTGTAACAAAAAAAAGTTTTTTCTTTTTCCATTTCGATTTTAGTGTGTGTATTTGTGTGTGTGTGTGTATGTCTACGATCCAAATAATCATTCGAAAGATGAATGTGAATAAAATGAATGATTGGAATGAATGAATGCAAATGAATTGGGCATAAAACTTTTCGCTCTCTCTCTCGATAAAAACGATCCAACATACAGAACAAAAAAAAGGACCCAAGAGGCGATTGATGAGAGAGACATGTAACCAGCAAAACAAAAAACAAAAATTCTCAAAAACCATTTGAAGAATTGTACCAATTGTGTGTGTGTGTGTGTAGAACACTTGAACTAATCATTTTGAGTTCGACTTTTATTTTCTCTCTCTCTTTCTCTCGCTCTCACCATCACCCGCTTCACTTCTCATCTAATTAGTGAAAATCAATGGAAACACATGCAGTGGAATAGTAACAGCAGTGGCAGACAAAAAAAAAATCCGAAAAATGTACCCGAATGTCACAACATTCTCATTTTTATTGTAAACGGGTGTGTGTGTGTGTGTATGTGTATCAAATTCTATTGTGACTGGATTCAAATCAAACAGAATTTCATCTCTTCATCTTTGAAAACAATTGAAAAGAAAGAGAATTTATTATTTGATTGAAAATAATAAAAAATTGTCCATCTTGGACAATTTCTAGAAATCATTCCAGAATTGTTTACTGTCGTCGTTGTCGTTGTTGTTGTTGTTGTTTCCAAATCAACGAATATGATTGAAAGGAATTTTTTTTGCAATTTGATTTTTCGTTTGTTTTTTATTGTGAAGTATTCTATGTCAGCCATCGGCTATTATTATTATTACTAGCACTCTGTACTGAAATTTACCTAAACACACACACACACACACAGAGAGAAAAAAAAATGGCTGTACAATAACGTTATTTACACACTATGAATGAATGAATGAATGAAAATGAAAATGATAACATCGAAATCATCACACAAACACACACACACATATGTTTTGTGTGTATGCGTGTGTGTTTTAAACACGACAACCAGAAAAAGATAGTGGAAAAAAAACATGACAATTTTCATTTTCATTTTCATTTCATTTTTTTTTCTTATGGATTACCGTTAGGTTTAGGTTATATATTGTCTTGTTTGGTTTTTTGTCACATACACACACACACACAATGTTGTCATCATCATCATCATCATCATCATCAAAATCATCATCATTGGGAGTTGTGTCATCAAATCAATTTTTTTTTGTTCCTCTCCAGAGTTTTTTTTTATATATTTCTAAAATCAATTTGATTGGACCAAACACACACACACACGGAATACATCGAGATGAACAAATGATGGTGATGAAACCAATAAAGTGTTTTTTTTTGTCCAATTTTTTTGCCATGGAAAAAAAAGTAAAATAGATTTTTCTCATTCTCTCTCTCGCTTTCTATCTAGGTTTTTTTTTCATTTGGATGAGCCCAAATGACCAACCAATTTAATGGGTAGATTCCATTTTTTTTGCCATTCTCCTGGTTATATTATATGTACCCGAATTAAAGTTTTAGGTTTTTTTTATATATATATTCAGGAAAATTTGTACAGAAGAAAAAAAAACAGTCATTTCAGTCATTTCATATATACAAGTAGTTTTATTTCTCTACATTTTTTTTATGCTGTTTCCAGCCATTCATTCATTGATTCATTCATTCATCGACCAATCATCATCAATTGTGTTTTGTATTATGGCTAAAAAAAAGTGATTGTTGTAAATCGAATCAAATGACAAATCGAATTGTCAAAAAGGTTTATAGTAGAGCAGTAGTAATAGGAGTAGTATACTACTACTCTATGGTCGTTGATAGTTGATTTATAATAATGTTCTTGTTCTTCATATGTTCATGGCCACACCGTTTGTGACAAAATAAAAAAAAATGACGTTTAGTTTTTTTTTCTGTCAATGATGATGATGATGATGATGATGACAATAATAATTTTTTTCCCCCGTTCTGGATTGGTCCACAAGAATTTGGTTCGATGAAATGTTTCACATGGCTACACATATGATGATGATGATAGTCAGTGTTTTCGGTGTGTGCGTTGCTTATTTGATTATTGATTATTGGCCAGTCAGAAAAAAAAAGAAAATTCAATTAAAAGTTAATAGGAACTTAAATTATTCGTTTGTAGCGGAACCAAAAAGTTTCCACTTTTCAAATGTTCCAATGTGGCAGATAGTGGTGAATATTCTATATTGTATGTTTAAATCTGGAAACCAATTCTATACAATCTGAAAGAAAATTTCATTTTTTTTTCATTCAACAATGTTTTTTTGCATTCACATTCGATGTGTGTGTGTGTGTGTGGACTTTGATCTAGATTCAGGGCACCCGAAACTTGCTCAAAAAAAAAAATTCAGATCATCATCCAATGTAATGTAATGTACACCCAACAACAACAACAACAACCACAAAAGAATAAATTTAGGCCATTAGTGTTTTGTACCAAAACAAACAAACAAACAAACAAGAGAAAAAGAATTTTTCAAAATAAGATTATATTGAAAATTTCTAGAAATATTATTTTCAATGTTTATGGAAATATTTTCTCATTTTTTTGTCAACATGAATGAAAACAAACAAACAAAAAACCACATTACTACTACCATTACATATATTTATTCATTTGTTTGTATGTTCATGTCATGTCATGTATATAAGTAGGGATTGATAAATGTTTGTTGATCATATATGATGGCCGGTCTTGTTTTTTTTTTTTTTGTTTTGTTTTGTAGCTATGAAGATAATCATGATAATGCCACAAAATAATATTACATAACAATTGGATCCATTTTTTTTTTGGTAAAAAAAAAATTTTTTCTTTCTGCTGTTGTTGTCGTTGTTGTTGTTGTTGTTCTACTGTGAAGAACATGATAAACCAATTCGAGAAAAAAAAAATGAAAAAAAATCAATCGTTAAATCTCATGTACATGTTGAACAGAATTCTGAATAGAAAAAATGGTGAAAGTGAGTATTTTTGGTTTTTTGTTAATTCATTTTTTTTGTGTGTAGATAAATTCTGGATTCTGATCATGAAAAATACAAGCATATTATATTATTTAAATTAAGTGATGAAAGAAAGAATTCAGAATAAAAAAAAATTTGTTCACAAATTCAAATTGGCCCACATGGAATTTTTCAATGGAAATGATTGAATTTAAATTTAAATTCTTTTACAGAATTTTTCAAAATCAATCAAACGCACGCACACACACACTGAGAGATCAATAAACAACAGAAATAAATCGATGACAGATAGATAAATAGATAGATAGAGATTGAATATTGAAATTGATTTGTATTTCAATTTCAATTTCACAATATTCATTCTGGTTCATTATTTTATTGTCATTCTTGGATCGTAACCACCAAAATAAAATGATGTTTTGTTGTGTACAAAGAAAAAAACAAACAGACAAAATA